ACAAGGTGTGGCCAGCCATGACACTACCAGCCACCAGCAGCACAAGCTCCACCCTGGGGGTGGGCCCTGGCCAGGTGCCTACCTGCTGTGCCCTACCATCTGAAGACACTGCTTAGAACCACATACCATCACCGACAGCTGTGAACATCCAAGGCCACCAGCAACCCCAGTTCTGGCCACATGGTAAGCCCCACTCTGTGGGGAGGGCTCTTCCTGCCCCTGGCCTTGGCCCCAGCTCTGGCCCCTGCCCCACCCCCACAGCCTGCCTGCACTCCCCTATCCCCAGTTCCTCCTCCACAGCACACAGGGAGGTGGGAGAGAGTGCCAAACTGTGATCAGCCCATGCCTCTGAAGCTAGGTGGACACGGGCCTTTCACATACCAAGGAATGTGCCAATGCTGGTGGCAATATCTTCTTCAGCTGTGGTGGGCAGAGACATGCAGCTCAGCCATGAGTAGTCCTCCAGGAAGTGGCAGGGCTTGCTCCCTGTGCTGTCATAGCTCAGGGTCCTGTACCAGATGCGCAGGTCCATCCAGGGCAGCATGGCCATCAGCAGCAGCAGGGCATAGTGGGTCAGGTACTTCTTGGTCCACACAAACAGCTCCTCTTGCACCATCCAAGGCATGCACAGCAGGGGAACACTTGGGGAGAAGCAGTGGTTTAGGGGAGGCTGGCCTTAGGGCGCTTCCCCAGAGAGGTCTCCTGCTGGGAGGATGGGACCACAGGCAGCTGCTCGTCCCAGTCGCCTGGGAGCCCCATACCTCCCGAGCCTGGATGCCATGGGCTGGGTGGTAGTATAGCAGAGAGTGGTTAGCCTGCAGGAGGAGATGTGGGGTGGGGGGAGCAGGGTCTGGAGCCACAGTAGCAGGAACTGCCAGGTGCTTGGCCTGTTCCACCCTGGGAAGGGGTTAGGGTGGGCAGGCTGCCTGCAGCTGGCACTCAGCGACCCGCCAGCCCCAGGGGAACAAGCAGGGATGCAGGGCTCAGCAAGCAACTGCCTGGGCCCAGGCCTGCCAGGCCAACTTACCATGGTCCCTGGTCACCTGTGCATGCCTGACCCCTGATCTGAGGCCTAGCAGAGCACAGCCCCTGGTACAGAACTTCTTATCTCTGAAATGTTGCGAACTCACACAAACAGCTTCTGTCTCATGGCTCTACAGGGTCTGCACCTGCAGACATTGGAGAGGCCACCCTTGGCATCCAGAATGCAGCCTCAGGGCCACCACTGCTCACAGCCAGATGCACTAGATCTGCCATAGGAGGACTTGGGACAGGACCCTCCTCCTGGACCACCTGGTCATGTTGTCAGAGGACCAGCTAGGGGATGTTTGGGCCTGGCAGCTGGAGGACCTGGCCTATCAGGACAGGTGGTGGGCAGAGGATGTAGCCCGCCAGGATAGGTGGCGGATGGAGGATGTCACCCACTACAAGGAAGCATAGGACTGGGAGTTCTGGGCACAGCTCCTGGTCCTGGAATGCAAGTGGGTGGATGCCCTGCAGGAATAGAATGCCATCCTGGACCAGGTAGTGTAAGCCACAGACAATGACTGCTGGTTGCTGGACACTCTTCTGGCCCTGATGGTTGCCTTCATGCTGCTTGCTGCCTGGCCCCTGACCCTAGCCCTGCCTGTCCCCTGGCAACCACCCACCATCCAGCAGCAGGCCTCCAGTGGGGCCTGGAAGGAGGTCCTGCACCACCTCCAGCAGCCAGGAGCCTCTGGCCTGGCCCCAGCCACAGGTCTGGTGCCTCCCAGCCCCACCCTCAAAGTCAACCCTAGTGGGATGCAGGACCCAGGGCAAATCAGCCTGTGCAGGGCCCTTTAACACTCAGTGTGAGGAGGGGCTGATGGGTGGCCAGATGCTTCTTCTGTAGCATGGGGATGACCCACCAGCTCCAGGTAGGCCCTGTAGGAGGGTCCATGGCTGCTCTGCCCAGCTCCATGGAGCCCCCCAAAGTGCAGGGCCTGGGGCAGTCATCCTGATTTTCCCTACCCAAGTTATGGCTCTGCTTCCTTGTGGGCACAGAGCCAGAGCTGCCTGCAGCAGGGTCAGGACCACACACTGACCCTGCTGGGCCTGGACACTGCCTGTTGGAGGGTTAGCCACCTCTGCTGTGGGAGCACCAGCTGCCATTGCACCTGGGTGAGCCTCCCCACCCACTGCACTCATTGGGAGCAGCCAGAGGCAGGGGTGTTGGCCACCTGTCCCTGGGCTCTGTCCCTTAGGTGCCCCCACCCCATGGCTCCCCACCCTGGGACGGCACATAAAGGACATTGAACAAAGTTTTCACTGGGAAGAAGGTGTTTTGGTGTTGGTGGGTGGGGTGTGTTGTGGAGGGACTCTGTTGGGGAACGAGGGGGGCTCTGTTTGTGTTGGGGACATTGTTTGATGTGAGGGGAGTAAAAACTTGTTCTTGTGAGACATATCTGCAGTGAGCATGGTGCTGGGGGATGGACAGGAGGGGTGGAGTGGGATCCATGGGTGGAGGTGCAGGTGGGTTAGAGGTGGAAGTGCTGGAGGAGGTGCTCAGCCAGTGCTTCCTGTACCAAGTGCCCTGGCCCCTTCTGGCGGGTGCACATTTCTCTTGGGGCCTCTGTGTGTGTGTGTGTTGGGGGGGCACTGGTGCTGCTGCAGGTGATGCTCCTACTGCTAGGTGTCCTCCATGCGCCACACCTCTTCCCAGGCCTCACAGAAGAACTCCCCCTCGGGCTCACAGATGTTATGCATCACACAGGCTGCAATGATGACCCAGGTGAGGTTGTCAAAGTTGAGGAGGGTGGCAAGGGTGTGCCCAGCAGCTCTTGAGGTGGCTAAAGGTGCAGGTCTGGCCCAGGCAGCAGTTGAAGTGGGCCTGGTAGGCATGCAGGTGGCTGGTGTAGGCCACATGAGTCAGGGCAGGAGCAGGTAGGAAGGGTCTCTGATGAGGAGCAGTGGGACCACCATAGTGCCCAACTGCAGGTCTAGCAGCCTCAGTGCAAAATGCCAACTCTCTACCAGACCTGGCAGGCCAGAGTTCCAGAAGACACAGGCATTGTCAGCACTGCCTGCCCAGCCAGTGCTGGGCAGGCAGTGCTGCCAGCCCAGCAGCACTGCCTGGGCTGTGCCCAGGCTGTGCCCAGGCTGTTCACATGCATGAAGGCCCCGCGGTGGTCCACAGCGGCTTGGAGCACCACAGAGTGAAAGTCCCTCTGGCTGTAGTAGGGACAGCCTCTGTGCGGCGGGCAGGTGACAGGGATGTGAGTCCTATAGAGGGCCCTGACGCACTGGGGGAATCCCAGAGCACTGACCCCAGCCACCACTGCCAAGGCATTGTGCTTGCAGAGAACGTTGGCCCTCATCACATCCTGGAGGATGCCACAAACCTCCAGGACAGCCTCCCTGGTGGTGACCGTGCCCACACTAAACAGGTTGCTGACATATTGCAGGCTGGTGGGCATGAACAGCTTGACCAGGCTGAGGACCAGGCATGTGTCCATGGGTAGGGGCAGCCACATGCCGGTGTCCTTCTGCTCCAGGTGCTCCAAGAGGACCCAAAAGGTGGCATGTGTCATGCAGAAGGCCTCCAGCCACTGCTCATCATCCCAAGTATGCTGGACCACATGCCACCACCAGTTCTGGCTGGCCTGGCAGGCCCAGAGGTGGCAGGGCTGGAGATCCAGGAGGGCAACAGTGGCCCTGGCGGTGGCATCTTGGAGTCCGTCACTGGTGTCCCTGCTGGGGTCCACCCAGGTGGGCGGGGTCAAGGTGGCAGGTGCATGGCGAGAGCCTTGGGACAGCTCGCAGCAAGCAGGCAGGCAGTCGCTGCACGTGGCGGAGCTGGAAGGGGTGAGACTGCTGTGGGCCAGCCAGCGGTCAGCACGGCAGGCCAGCAGGGCTAGCATGGCAGCCAGAGGGGGTGTTTGTTGTCGCTGCCATGGTCAGAGGCTGGATCCGCCATAGTACGGGGAGGCACAGGCAGGGAGGAGAGCACTGCTGCATACTGTTCCTGCGCTAGGCATACTTCTCCTGGCCAGGGAAGTGACTGGCCAGAGAGCAGCAAACAGGGCTGGCTTTTGAAGAGGGCTGCCAACTGGTGGCAGCTGCAGCCGGAGCCTGGAGCTCCCCCCAGTGCTGGCAGGGGCCCATTGCAGGGCCCCAGGAAGCAGGAGCAGATTGGCAGTGAATCTGCTCCTGCTTCCCTGCGCGTGTAGATGCTTGCCTGGCACCATTTACTCGCAAGTAATTTACTCAAGAGTAAATTGGTGCCACAGCAAATGCACATGTACATATGCCCAATGTCCATTTAAGTTGTGTTCATTTGGCTTAAAGCCATGGAAATGAATTCATGCTCAGTCAATACATATGATCACCCCTTATACCCCTTACACGTTTTTTTGCAGAAAAGGACAATTTTCTTGCCATTTTCCAGTTGGTCTAATAAAAGGTATCATTTTGGAACCAAGAGTTCTAGTTTTTTGTATGTCTTTTTGTCTCAGACCAACACGGCTACCAAGTACACCCCTTACACACTCTCTGCATTCTTAGCATTGTAGGGTGCTAGACAGAATTCAGGTAAGCTCTGCATTAAGATTTTATGAAGAGAAGCTGTTATCACTGTGATATCTAAGCATGAGCTCCCATTCCTTCCCCTTCACGAGAACTGGCATCCAAAACTACTGTCTCAGGGGGAAAAGCTCCAGTTACTGATAGTAAACTACTACTTTCTGGTGAACTCTGAGATTTCTTTGGAGAGTTTCCACCCAACTGTTATCCAGGTCTAACTCTCTTTAGTTTGTGAAGTCTCAAGAGATCACAAGTTTGTACTTATGCAAAAACACAATAAACTTGAAATAACGTATGGGTCATATTGATCCCTGGTGTAGTTCTACCAGGCATGGCCTGGGCCCTGATAAAGATGACAATATTGCCTTTTTGTTCAAAAGAATTTGTTATTTTTAGACAAGAGTCATAAATAATTGCCTCTCAATTGTTTGTCTGCATGTACTTTTCTCTATTATTAGGTGACCAGTTAGATACTCATCAGTTATTGGCAATGGCTTCCAGTCTGAGGGACAGTGCAGAATTGTTCCAGTCAGATGAGATGCGTCCAGCTAATGATCCCAAGGAGAGAGCGCCCATCCGAGTCAGAATGCTTAATGATGTGTTGCAGAGCCTGGAGAAAAACTTCTTAGTTCAACAAGCGCCTCCAGGATTTTACAGGTAAGATGTTCAATACGTTTCCCATTCATTTTTATCGATTCAAATGGTAGTCTCGCATTGCTTGGCTTTCAAAAGTGTCATGCCGCTCTTAAAAATCTCGGTGAGAATCCACGATAAAAGCTATTTTTTTCTTTAAAAAAAAATTTATCCTTTCAGCAGAAAATTTTAAATTCATACCAATGCACAAGGTGATTAGAATGCAGTGTTGTAACATTTCTGTCATGACATCACTGCTAACAAGATGTACTGTGGGATAGCAGCTCAGGCTGCATGACAGCTACTTATGTTAGATGGTAAAATAAGCTTTCAAAAAGAAAAAAATATTTTGAAATCTAATTGCATTTGACATGCTCGTCTGTGTTTTATTAAAAAAACTTAAAAAAAAAAATCTTCAATAACACTGCATTACTGAAGATCCAGCTTTGTGTTGCATCAAATCTGCACTAATATGGCATTTTTTCTTTGCCCTCTTCAGACGTTTTCAACAGAACAAAGGTGGCCTCTCGGACTGCATGTTAAGGCTTTAATTTGCCTGAACCTAACTGATCCTCATAGAAACCTGAGATAGAAAAGAACTTTTAAGGCAAAATGTTTGTCTCCCTTTGCCTGGGAAGGCTTGTTTCCTAGAGTACACTGAAGTGTTTAGCTTTAAACGTCTTGAGCAATCTACCTTTCAGCTTCTTGAGAAAAAAGCTGCGCCTTCGTGTGTCTCACTGCGTATTTCAAAGCTAACTTAGCCATTGGAAACATTTATGGCTCTCATTAGATAACAAAATGCGTTTGGTCAAAGGAAACCATTTTGCTGTTCCATTAGTTCTAAAACAGTTCTGAGCACTTTTCTAACCCTCAGATGTAGGTTTTAAGGCCTAGTCAGTAGTAATCAAGTATTATCATATTCTTTTGTAGTTCTCTCAAAGGAAAACATTATTGTCCCTTGAACTGCTGCAAGATGTGGAGATCTGTAGGCTTTGGTTTGTGCCCTTGGGGTGGGGCTTGGAGGGCATAAGGACGTCGGGAACACAGGGAGAGGGAAACTGTTCCAAGCTGTGGAAGTGGCTCAAAGCATGTCACTGCAGAAAAGTAAGTTGTGGAGGGAACTTTGGTGGAAATACAGCCATGAACAAAAGAGTGAAATTTGGGGTGGGAACATCCTACCTCACTGCCCCAGTGGTTGCACGTACACCGTGAAGGAAGATATTCACCAAAGAGAAATTGAATAAGAATTAGTGGACCAGAGTCAGGAATATTCCACAGTCACTTTGAGTTGCTCTGACTTTTCAAGGCAATCATGAAATAGCCAGATAAAATGAATTGCCAGTTGCATTTGTGCCACAGGGGCATACTATCTAGTCTGACATGATGAGACTGCAGCGGATGTGTACTTATTTTTTCTTTACAAAATGGAAAACACCACATTCGGGATAGTGAGAAACTCTTTGTCATGCAAAACTACATCCTTTTCATTTTCATATCCTTGTAATGCTTATCACGTGTTCCTTACATAATTGCCTGCTTATGGGTGCAATGTAAATTTGGCGCTTTCCTTTTGCTCTTTGCCTTTCTCTAGTCTACAGAAAATGGTCTAAGCAGTACTTCTGCTCTCCTAAGTACAGACAGGACATGTTACTGAGAATGACTAAGCAGGTACCTTGGAGAAAATCCTGTAACTTATTCCCTAGTGGTTTCATTAAATTGGGCATGAGAATTTTTGAAAGCAGACCATGAAAATGCTTGATGTTCTGTGGCAACGGTTCGGATATAGCTTCCTTCTTCCATGTTGACTCGTTTCAGTCTCTTCCTTTGCTTTAATGTATTCTCCGTAACATATACGGTAGAGTACAACAAAGGTATGTGATTCTCTTCACTGGGAACTTCAGTTAGTCCCTTGAAAAGAATTAATTCTTCCCCCCAGCACCTCTTTCACTCTTCTCATGTGCTGCAATGGAGGAATGAAATGGTTGGCCCTGTTCTTGTGATCCTTATTCACACCTGGGATCACTTAAGAATATGTCTATAGTGTAGAGTTACTCAGGCTTGCTTTGCATGAGGTAGCTCAGGCATTATAAGCAGTCAAGTCTCAGCAATACAGAGCTCCACTGGGAAACTGGGAAGAGAATGACATAGGCTTTTAGTATGTGCTGTCAACCAGCAAACAAGTCTTCCAGGGAGCCTGGATACGTGGATTGTTTGGTAGCATGCCCTAAAACTTATCTGTTGCATCTTCACTCCTGTTTGATCTGTTCCAATAGATTAAAATTAAGATGCTAGTACATGCTAGAATCATGATTTCATTTTGCTGTGAGGACATACCCTTTATTACATGAAAGGATCCAATTCACTCTCATATCCCAGGCGCGTAGCATTAAGATTGTTTTCCTAACTTTATAACTAAGCAAATATGATCTGGGATGTTTGAAAATCACTGACTTGCAACCCACTAAGTCATTTTGGGAGTAGAAAACGTAAAGGCAATTAACCCACTGATACGTCTTTAGGCGGGGTTGTTTTATTAACATTTCTGGAGGGACAGATCTTTGCTCAAACCCTTGTGCAACTGTTGTAATTATTGTTTAAATAGTAGGCAGATCTCGGTATTACTTTGAAAGCTACAGAACAGTAAAATTACTGTGTCAGTAAAATGAAATATGTGAAACAATAGATATGCTATTGTTTTCATACCTTTAAAACTCAGCGCACAGATTTTTTTTCAATTAGGTAAAGAAACCAAAACAAAAAAAGTGTTCCCAAAGCCAAGACCTTGAACGCCATGTTTCATCCCAGTGTGAAGATTGATGGGCGAGTTATAAACCCCTGAAATAGGGGTTTATAATGGAAACGCTGGCAGACCTTTAACTATAGCAGCACAAACAGTGCCGCAATAAATACTGTACTTCATCTGTAAACAGAAATTTAGGATGCGGTTTGCAGCCTTGACCTTCAGGCTCCAACTGTGCTTAGTTCATTAAGATTCCATAAATACTGTAATTTACAGTCTTCTGAAGGAAGAATATGTGTGCACAATAAAGCACATATTCCTCATGAAAAAATGATTGCTTCCTGTATATTCATTTGAGCTCATATTCTCAACCTCAGTCAAGATGCTTGACAAAGTTCAGGCATCACTTCTCAGTCACTGCTGGCAGGCTTATGTTTATACTTAATCCTCATGTCTTTGAACCTCCATTGCATTTTTCTCCTTTAGAGTCAAAGCTTGAAAAGAAGGGATGGCTTTGTGTAAAAGGGACTGGATGGGGCTTGGGAAGTCTCTGCCCACAGACTTCTTGTACAAACTTCTTGGGCAAATCTTATAATCATTCTGTGATCTAAGTTCTTACCTGTAAAATGGGAATAATTATGCTTCCTTTCTAGGCCATGGCTGTATACACTGTAAGCTGTCTGGCTTACAACAACTACTTACTATGCATTTATATTTAACACAGTAGGGCCTCAAGTTCAGTCAGGTCCTGTATGCACTCCTGTAATACTCTAACAGCAGAGAAATTGGTATTTTCATTGCCATAGTTCAGGACCACAGTTTACAAGAATTCTCAGCCATATTTTCTAATACTTCACTTGCTTGCACAAAGAACATATGGCTTTCGTTTGAAGCATTGTTTAGCCCAGAGAAAAAGAAGGAAAGAGACATTTTGAAGAAAAAAATGAAGTCCAGATAAAGGGAGGAGAAGAGGAGCCAGAAAAATTAATGCCATCCCAAGTTTTTGTCCAAAATATTGGACAAATATCCGAATCTGAATTGAAATGTTTCCCCAATGTTATAATTAACCGTATATGCATATAAAAATTAGAAATGTCATGTACTTCATGAAGTATTTTGTTCTAATTAAGAGATGCAAATGTTTTGGGATGGTATTTCTGGGTACTAGTTTGTTTTGTTTTGTTTTGTCTTGGTTTTTGCTGTGCTCCATAGTTTTTCTTACATTTCACAGACTTCAACCATTAAGTCATCTAGTGTGATCTTCTGTATCTATTAGGCCACTACGTTTTTCTCACACTCCCTGCATTGACTCAGTAAACTTAGTTAGTTTAAAGCATCTCCCAGTTTAATGGTTATACACTGCAGGAACACAACAGGGGAAGCCAAGTTGCCCCAATATCTGAGGTTCCTGCAGTGGTAGAGGACAGATTAGATGAGAGATCCCCAGGTGATCCAAGCATCTGATCCACACCTTAAAGAAAGACAAAAAAAAGTGTCTAGTATGCAATAACCTTCTACTAGAAATGAAGAGATGGCGGAACAAACTATTTAATGATTTCCCTAGCTATGGAATTGAAATAAGCCTTGTAAGACCATGTGCAAACCTTCATTTCCAGTGGTGGAATGTTTCCAGACATTTAATCTGCAGCTGCTGCTCCACCTCTTCCTTCCTGGTCTACAGGAAAGGTGGGAGGAGCTGCCCCCCATGGCTTCTCCAAGCTGGCATGACCCCTGGAAGGCATTGGAGCTTTTCCACCAGCTCCTGATCCCCAGGAGGAGTTATGTCAGAGGAAAGTGTGCAAATATCTCCAAGAAGAAACTCTGCTGGTAGCGATTATTCCCTGGTTGTTGTTGGATTATTTTTCTCCCAGAGTGGCCGTTTTTGCTCCAGGAGAAAAAGCTTGAATGTTTGCACTTTTGGTTTCTACTGGTAGAATGCCAGTTCTTCCAGTAGAAACTGAACGTCTTACATGGCCTAAAGGTAAGCCTTTTGAGTCTCCTTACTCAGAATTAGATTATTATTCCATGACAAAAAAACCCAGCACATTCAGATTTAAGGATGCCAAATGATATCTCTTGTCCATCTAGAAAGCCGTAGCTCGGCAGAAGTCAAACTTATTAAAACCAAGAAAAAGTAGTTTACTTGGAATTCACAACAGTGAAGTGGAAGTCCCAGCAAACTGTAAGTCCCAGTTGTGTTCATCATATTAGGTGTCCTTGCATTGAACAGCAAATGATTTAGTTGGAATGGCCGGAAGGATGTAGTATGACCATACCCATGAGG